ATATAGTTGTGTTTTGGTTTCAGGTTAATCATATTGATTAACTCCCCAAGTATATTATCATTATCCCCTCGGCTACTGAGTAGCTTTCATTTGTCTGTAAACCAAATACAGTTGTAAGTAATAAATATAATTAAGGCTCAATTAAAGTAAGTTAATGCAGATTTAAAAAAATGTCTTTTGATTTGTGTCAAACTCTGTCAACAAGGCCTTTTGGTTGGATTTTACCATGTTAGGGTTGGGGGAAAGTAACTTTGAATGGAAACTGAATAAAAATTGCTTAAGCAATTAAATATTGTAGAGACCTTTCAAACATGGAGGACTGTCCATAGTTTCTGATCTAATCTTTCCTGTTATTTGTCAAAACAAAAAAATGGGTTAAAGAAGGAAAACATTTTGGGTCAAATTTGAAATTCTCTTTATTGTCCACCATACAATTCTTTTAATGTTTAGTATTGGATCAACTGATTATCCCCAAATTGATATTTTATTTTATTCTCAAAAAGTATTGAATATTGTAAGGAGAAATTTTGTCTTGATCACTCATGGGAGTTAAAAGGGTTGAGAGATAAGTGGATAACCTCCATTCAATGATTAGAACAAAACCAGAAAAAAACGAGCACTGACCGAAAATTTTTGGGAAAAGGAGAGATGACTAAGATAATTAAGATAATGTAAGGCCTGAGGTGTTTGAAAAGAGTTCTTTTTGGCAGCCCCAGCATTGTGGAAGACTGAAGACTGATGCCATGGCTAACAGAGGTGAGGACACAACTGAACCACATGCAACTTCCAGTCTCCACCTAGATGAACTCTTCATCAATAAAAAGCTAATTTTTTTGTAAACAACTGCAGACTGATGCTGTGGCTAACAGAGGTGAGGCCACAACTGAACCACATGTTACTTCCTGTCTCTGCCTAGATGAACTCTTCATCAAGTAAAAAGCAAATTTTTTTGTAAAAAAAAGTGTTTGTAGGAGGCTTTGATAAACCCACAGCTTGTGAAATAAAACTGAGATCAAACTCCTTTAAATCATATGCCCGTTACAATAAAAACTTAAATTTTATAGGTATAAAAAAAGGTCAAGTAAAGGTATGATAACAAAAAAAATAAAATAAAATAAAAGCAATCTAAATAATAAACAGAACAAAAATCCATATAAGAAAACAATTTAAAATACTAATAACCTAAAATATAATTAATATTTCAAATGTTCAATAAGAGATATAAATTAGGTGTTAGTTTTTTGTTTGTTTTGTTTACATGTTCCCCCGGACTCTAAGCTCAAAGTGCATAACCATAATTTTCTTCAAAATATGGGTAGGGGGTGGAAGTGGGGGTATCTATATTGTTAGACGGGATAACTAGTGTTTTTGCTAATTGATCCACCTCTTACCCTGTGTCACTATCTTAACTCATAAAGAGTTATGACTGTGAAATACTAATTTTTTTCGCGTTTAGGCTAAAATGTTCACCGAATAGAATATTTAAGGTGTAGTGCTTTACTCTAAATTTTTTAATTTTATTTTCCCTATACTGGATTTTCCAGCCACCAGGAGAGAAAAGAACTATTTTACAATGTAAAATTTTCCTCATATCCCAATATTTATCTCTGAACGATGGCCGTGAAGTACTGGGCCCCATTATTCTAAGAAGGAAGTTGATGTGACGTCACATCCAGTTTATCGCCAGGTGTCGCACGTTGCTCTTCAAACTTTTTTACGTGGGAAGGAAATCGGAAAAGAAAGGGAACGATTACTTTGTTCTTGTGCATAAACTAACAAAATATTCATATGAGGAGATCGGTTTTTCGCCTCTTCGTCGAATAGAAGGAACGATTTGGCGGAGAATTCGAGGCTGCAAAGGTGTTTCCGGCGGAAGGTTGCGTTCAAGTAAGTTCTCGCAGGCAACGCGTTGCATTTAGTCGAGCGGAAATAGGATTCTGTCGTGTTCTTCTCTCCTCTATTGTAAACAAACTGCGAAGCCAACGATACGGTTTTAGATTTTCGATATCTTGCCTCGTTTATAACGATATCCTGTGCTTTTGCAGTGATTTTGTCGCGATTCCCAGCAACGAAGGAAGTATTTGAGAGCGAGTTACTGCCCGATCAGTGAAGTAAACAGGAAAAGTTCAAGGCGTCTTGCTGCCTGGGGGACGATAAAGTTGCAGGTATTATTGAAATGTTATTGATCTGTACCGTAAGTCGAACTTTATGTGTTCAGCTTGAGGTGATTTCGTTTTCGTTTAACTTGATTTAATAGTTTCAAGAACATGTATTCTTGTTTACTTTAGTTTGCAATCAAAGGAAGTCAAAGACGGTTCAGATCGGAAAAAGCATGAAGTTCGAACCTGATCTTATGGCGGGAAATTTGCGCTTGCATTGTCCTTTTTCTGACCATTAGTTAAAATATTATTTTACAGTTCTGCGTTAGAGTCAATTTGAAACGATTTTCTACGGGAAAAAATGTCGTGAACCTTGTCTGATGATCGGTCGCTTTCAAGGCCGTCGTTGTTTTCAGTGACGCACGACTTCGAGATCGGAAATTACTTTCCATTGATTTGTTCATTCATTATTATCAGGATTTCCTCGTCAAGAATCTACACTTTCGCATAAATTCATGTTTAAACTGCAGATAACCTTTCTCCTTCTTCTCGATTAATTATGAAATCTAGTCCTATGACTTAAAGAAGAGTCTCCAGTCAAAACAAGATGTTGAGCATTTCATGTCGTTGTCAACTTATTTCCCTTACTACTTTGTTTAAATTGTGGCATTCATGTGGCAAATACACACAAAACAAAACAAAAAACACTGCATTTGGAAATCTCCATGGCCTGTGGCAGGAAAATACTGAGGGTTTGGTGTCTGCTTCATAAAATTATGAATTATAAATCGCCAGAACATTTTTTTTGGAATAAAAGAGGAAAAAAAATAAGCAAAGAAATAAGTCTTCTTCTTTGAGCATTGCAGTCACGTGGGTTGGTTAACTCAGCTTGTCAGATCTTACCTTTTATAAGATAAAGGAGACATAACCAATGCCCTGATTGGTCTAAAACATATCATTTATAACACTGGTAAATCCATTGAAAACTGAAACATTTTTAGTTTATTTTATAATTGCAGTAGACCACTCTTTTGCAACTTTTCTTGTGTTTTTGTAACATCCTGCATGGTTTATTATGTCAGTAGATTGATAGAAAGTGTGGTCTATTGCTTCAATAATTCATGATTTTGCAAAAATTACATTTGGTGCACCATGGTGACAATGCATGCGAGGGACAAGTCCAGTTACCAAAATCTCTCTAAATGATTGCAATACAGTATTTCCTCAAATAAACACCAGATGCCTTTTTAACATTTTAGCTAAAAGGTGGAGGGGGTGCTTTAACTTAAGGAAGGGTGGTTAATTAAGGGGGCACCTATTATTCTCCTGCACTGATTCTGCAATAGTTGAAGCTTAAAAAATTATAAATTAACTTGCAATAGAAATAGGTTTTCCTTGTACCCCTTCTATTTTAGAAAGTGTCAAGGAATAGGGGGCACTTGTTTGAAGGGGTGCTTGCCTAGGAGGTGGGTGCTTATTTGGGTGGTTATAAGAGTGTTGATTCTTATTCAAGGAAAAACAGGTCTGGGCAATCTGAGCCTGAAATTTATCAATTTTCAATAGAGTGTCAAAAGCACAGTGTAGTAGTCTGGGGCTGGTTCTGAAACTTACTCTACTTTCTCAACCAGTCACAATGGAAAGTAACTCCAAGCATGACTTGGTTACTAGCATTTCTTGTGCCTCAGGCACAATATACATTTTCCTTTGTTCTGATTTGCAATTGTAGTAACTTTGTGTTATATTTTACAAAAATTAATAGAAATATTCTCAAAGCACTAATAGTAACCTCTTCACTTCCAAGGTCTATCAATAATTCTCTTTCTTGTCTGCCATACAGGTTTTTATGATCTCAGCTTGCAAAATTAGGTAGTGGATTGACAAAAAATACCCCTATTGATATTTTTCTTAACTGCTATCACCTTTCTGCTTGATACTGCATTGATATTGTAAGGAGAAATTCTGTCACAGCCAATTTAATTTTCAGTGAAGCACCAAGAGTGCATTGGTTGTGATTGGTTTTTATTAACAAACTTGTGGCTCCATGTTAGAACAAACATTATTTGCAGTGACAGTTTATAAAAGTGTCAGGGTTCCAAGCTAAAATTGTTCAAAGTTGCCATTTGGTGAGCTACTGTAGAAAAACATAAACTGGGATGCCAGAAATTAAATTTAAGTTGGCAGTGAAATATACACTTTGGTCAATAGTGATCGACCTGCTTATTCAAATTGCTGATCTCATGTCTTGTGGAGAGATTTCACTCCATCTTAACACTCAGATAACCAAAGAGGAAGGAATTTGTTTGTACAGAATAAAAGAAGAAAACCACAAAGCATTTCTTAAGTATTATTTTTAGGAACTGCCTGCAGTTTATTGGAAACTTGATTATCCAGATCTCAATAATTGAGATAATAATCTGGATTTTTTGATTTTCCAGACTTGCTTCTCTGGTCCTATTATCTTTGAACATTTATGTTCATATTTTTAATTAATGGGATAATTAATGTTTGATGCATCTCACTTTGACTACAGCTCATAAAAACCAAGTCAAAGAACTGTTACAACTTGCTACATGACTGAAAAACACAGGGCGATGAAATTACAACTCATATTGCAAATATAGTAACCAAGTGTTTGTTCTAGTCACCATAGAGACCTCAACAGCTCTAGCTTACTTGTCTTTTATCACGCTATGCATTTGTGTTGCCTTTGTCATAAGTTTTTACTGGTTCATTTTGACATTTTCCTTTCAATGTTCTGATTGGTCAAATTTTTCTTAACATAGGTGTTGGTTTTAATTTACCTAATAAAAATGTTCTGTGGACATGTTCAGCCACCATGTGTTAAGTGACATCAAAATAGTGTTGCATATTATCATTATTTTCTCTACTGTTACAGTGACGTCTTAAAATAGCTGCCCCTGGTGATTCTACCATGGATACCAATAATGGAACCCTAGGTAGCCCCATGCAATTGCAGTGTAATGCTGCAAGTTCTGCAGAAGATATTAAGAAGTTGTTGGGAGAGAAACTGCAGAGGCAACTTACTGATTATTCAGTCATCTTCAATGATACAGAGGTACAGTGAATAACAAGAAAAATTTTCAGCAGTTAATCATGTGGTCTCATCTTGTGGATGAGGGGAGTCCTTAGGAGGACTATTGTTGGTGGGGGTGACTGACCTTTGGCAACATTTTGTGACAACCCAAGCAGAAGTCATCATCAGAGTCAAATAATTAAACATAATGCTTTGTCTAAAATATGAAAATCCCTCTTCTAAGATTGAGGTGGAAATTTCTATACGATGTTAGCATTGACGTACTCCAAAGTAACTAAATTTTTGCATACTGTTTTTATTAATAAATAGGTTGGATTTTTTTTAAAACCAGTTTGCACTTTTTGGATATTTAATTAAGTAGATGGTGTGGTAAAACACCAACTTGTCCTAGCCAATACATGTACATGTTTTCAACATTACAGCTGTAAAGGTGTAACTCTTTTGATAACCCTTAACTCCCAGAAGTGATTGGCATGTAATTTCTCCCTTAAATACCCATACATTATCCAGCAAACAAGTTATGAGAAAACTTAAACTTATCAAGTAGAAGTTGTTACCTTGATCTAACACTAAATTCTTGTACATGTAACTAATTTACAAGGAAATGTGTAACAGTGAGAGGGGAAAATTAATAATCAGATATTGGAAGATAATGGGTAAGATTTAACCCTTAACTCCCAGACCAAGTTTGTAATTCTCCTACTGTCAACCATACAATTCTTTCAATGTTAGTTTAGAGAATTTTGTATTGGATCAACCAATTATCCCCAAATTGATATTTTCTCAATTCTCATCACTTATCTAGTTGACATTGTATTGATATTGTAAGGAGAAATTCTGTCTTGGTCACTAACTTAAGGGTTAATAGAATAGAATTATAGAGAAAATGGAAAGGTAAGGACAGTTTTTTTTTTGGGAGGGGTGAAAAGATAGGAAAAAAACTCCCAGAATCAATCATGGTCTTTATGTACATACAAAGTCAATCCATGTAAATCAAAAGAATGTTTACATTGTATTTTCTTCTTTAACTATTAAACAGCTGACAACTGTCCACAGCATTCTGAAGGATCAAGGTTTGGGAAATGGAGGTCTGGACCAAATTTTTACCTTACTCATTATTTTAAATGGTGAGTTTTTGATTGATACCAATTTTCATGATCGTTTTTTTTTTGTGTGTATTTTTTTTAATGTTATAATTTTGAAAGTATTTTTTATTGATAATAGTCATGAAATCTTATTTACCATGGTTTAACTTTTTTTACCAGCAATTATCCATCACTTATTGAGATCAAATTTTTTCTTGACAGAGGAAAATCGAAGAATAGAAATCACCAGTATTCAAACTGCCTCACAAGGTATTATTATCATTAATGATAAATATTTGATGCACAGTTAATGACTCACACACTCACAGTGCTCAGATCTGAGCAATGAACACTTGATTTAGGGGGCCTGCTGGGTAATTTTCTACAGAATTAAAATAGCTGGCAAGGTTTACTTTATTTTTTCAAATTATTTTGTTTGACTTTTTTTCTTTCTTCAATAAGTTGTCACCAAAACGGTAAAGACAACAAGTGTGTTGAACATTTCACAATGTTTCTCTTGGGAAGTTTGCCTGGGAACCTAAACTTTGTGATTTGAAGACCCTGTTTCCCAAGCTTGCTTGCAAACATCTGAATGTGGGCCATTACTCCAACATGTCTCTTATTTATTGCTCATACATGTACACATACATGTTAATGTTTATGTATACATTGTACTTGCTACCAACTTTTCATTCAGATCTACTGAAAACTGTTCAACCATTTCAAAGCAAATTGCCCAAGTTGTTGCTTACATGTACATGTATGTGATTTATGTAATTCAAACTGGCACTACATAAAGATTTGAAATGTTGTAATTACAGCACATTTTCATATGTTCCAGTGCTAGCTCTGCATGTGAGTTGGGTTTGTTTTTGGGTGTTTTCTTTACACCAATGGTTTTTCTCAGGTGATCCTGCTTTTCTTCCATCCACAAATTAACAGCCAACATGCAATAAATTCTACCTCAGCCTTGCTCTATATATTTATGTTGTGAAATGAGTTCTTGAACTTATTTGCTTTACATATACATGTACTCTGTTTGTATAGAAGCAAAATATTGCTAGTTGAGCTTGTAGAAGAGGGAGTCACTAGTTTAATCTTGGGAGTCAGTATTTGCAGAGACTTTTTTTCTGGTAAAGGTCAAGACTAATTTCTCCTGTTTCAATTTGCCTTTTTTTGGTTGATGATTCCTAGTTGGTATGCCACCTCTTCCAGTTGTGGAACCTGAAGTCAAGATGAGTAGTGTGGAAATCCAAGCTGTCTTTCCGTTAGTGGCTGCTGCTGAAGAACCTCCCAAGAAGCGAAGAAGGTCATCAGGATCCGCCACAGGAAAAGGTACAGATTATACTTATACTAAAAAACAAGTATTAAAAAAATTTAAATTTGTTTTCATTCTTCTAATGTAAGTGGTGTTTCATCAATTCCCAGATCTCATTGGTAATTCTCCTTACTGTTTTGTATACAATTCTTATGATGTTAGTTTGGAGAATTCAGTTTTAGATCTACTAATAATCCTCTAATTGACATTTTCTTCATTCTCATCACTTGTTTGCTTGCTATTAATTGTGTTGATATTGTAAGGAGATTCAATTCCTTCTCAGTCACTCATGGGAGTTAAATGGTGAAAGAGTTCAATTGTTAACTTACACTGTAGAAGTGCTGTCCCTTTAGAACAATTTGAATTCAAAGTAACAGGGTAAGGTCTCTAGTTTCCTTGTTCTTTATGGTTGCTAGCTCCAAGTATGTCAAGTGTTTTCTGAAAGAACAGTTCCCCTTCATCTTCTTTTTAATATATACAAATAAGTTTATAGTTTGAATGTTTTTTAGAAAGTTAGTTGCACATTACACATGCTGACCCAGACTGTCAAATAATATTATTATAAACAATGTGACTTTTCAATAATTCTTATAAAATTGGATTTTGAAGATAGGTAACCAAAGTAGTAGGTACATGCATTTCAGTAGGATTGATTAAGGAGAGAAATGAAAGGAAGTCATTTATTTCAAATTGGTTATTCACAGTTAGCAGTGGATGACCATGAGTTGGTTCTTCCTGTCCAATGTTTTATGCTTGAATATTATTGGCATTTGGGGTTTTTGTTTAGGCAATAGTATTTAGTGCCATTATTGCTGTTTCATATGTGCATACATGCTAAACATATGAAGAGTTTCTTTGGATTTGATACATGTGAATGCACAGTGACACATTACAGCTTCAAGTGTTAATATAGCAGCAAGGATTTTATTGCCATATGGTTATAACCAGCTTAGCAATGAAATGTTTTTTCTTTCAAATTACATTCTCAGGCAACACTAAACCTGGTCAGCAGCTTGCCTCAGTATCTCAACAAGTTCCTGTCATCAGTTGCACTAATTCTGATAGTGAGTGGTCAAATATATATTTTTCATTCCTCCAGTGACATAAATATAAGGAATTTTTATTGGAGGGGGTGTCCATACTTTGATTAGAAAACACCAAACCTTTTCCTCAAAAGCTCCCTTTCTGTGCAAGTATTTTGTTTAAAGATACATTTATCATGAATAGTCAGGAGAGTGGTATTATGGGAACCTGTCATTGCAAGAATTTTGGTGTTAGACTAGTGATAAAAGAACCCGAGAACCTGATGGGAAGGAGGGGTCCATCCTCTCAACCCCTCCATTTGGATAGGTCACTGAATTTATATTCAGGGTTTTATTAGAAGGCAGGACCTGGGTTCAAGCACCAGGTTACACAAGTGTTAGTAATTTCCTTTGTTCACATGGGTCATAGCTGAAATCAATATTGTAACTTTAAGTTTTTGTCAGGCCATGCTCATAAAGATGCCCAGGCATTTAAAAGTGTAATGAAACTGCTACTAAGAACAAGTTATGTATTTTTTCTTAAAAGGAAAGTACTGAGGGCATTCAATGGCTCAGTTTTAATTTGTAGAGCAATAATAATTAAAAATAAACTTCAACCTAAAAGTTGCTTACATGCCCAATTGCAGGCAATGTCCATGCACAGCAGATTTCAGTCATAAAGAATGGTAAGTTACAAGAACACGCATAGTTTGAGTATGTGTATGTATTTTAAATGTGTCTACTACTAGAAAAAGAATAGTGATTTTCCTGGTAAACAGCAACTCTTGCAATTGATCCTGATATCTCCTGCACATTGAAAATGAGAGATTTATTCTTCCCAAAAATGCTTTATATGTCACAACCATACATGTCATAGGCCCCATTAGAGTCAAATTGCCCTGATGTGATAGTCTGTGTCAATTACTCTGTAATCCCCAATAACTTTCCTGTAAGGTTTGTTGGCAAATAAGAAAATATTTTATTTTAACTCTGTCACTAATAAACAGGGCAATATAAATTTCCCTGTGGCAACATGATGTTCACTGTTCAGAAATTGGAAACCAGATTTACATGTACATATATACTTATATATATACTTTAGATAGGAATGGACTTGGCTTGTTCCTGCTTGAATAATTTTTGTTTTTTTCAGTGTGTGACTCTATGTTTTGTTGGTAATAGTTTTTCACTTATTATAATATGCTTTTGAATCGTACTAGGTTTGGAAAATTCTTCTGGTAAAGATGAAGCATCCTTAATTGGAATCACTCAAGCACAAGGTTCATTCTCTCTAAAAGGTAAGCTTTTTGAACCATCACTGTTAATGTTGCACTGCTTTCAAGAATAATGGCATATGTACAATGTACACCTAGTTGTTGTTTTAGCAGGTTCTGTCCAAAGGTACTCTATGCTCTTTTATAGTTGGGTTTATGGCCAAAAGGGAATGCTTGAGCTCGTGCAAGTTATTTTTATTAACCCTTTTACTCCCAAGATCTGCTTGTTAATTCTCCTCTCTAGCTGTTACACATAGCCTAGTAAATTGGCTGTGAGAATCTGGTGTTGGATCAACATAGCAACTTCAACCTGATAATTTTAGGTGTTCTTGTTACCTGAATGCTAGAAAATGTATTTGTATTATAAGGAGAAGTTATTGATTAATCACTACTGGGAATCAAAGAGTTAACACTTTTGGGTTGAAATGAGGAGCTTCAGATGAGGCTTCCACCAGTTGATGCCTTTCCATCCCAAGTACCCCTTTGTCAGTTTGCTTGTAGGTGTATGCTTTAGGTCATTTTCATGTTGAAATTTTGGCTTTCAAGTGTTAACTTCAGATGAAGTGGGAGACAAAATTTCTTTGACTTAACATTTTGCCTCCATTTTCCCAATGCCCTGAACATGAACTTGAATTGAAGGAATTTTTGAAGTGACCCTTCTGTTTTACCTGCTTCCTTATATGTGCAATACTGATTTTGTCCGTTTTAATAGTTTGTTTGTTTGCTCAATGCAGGTTTGGCAGGAATTGGGTCAGATCCCCCAACATTGATTCTGCAAACATCATCTCAGAACAGCCCAGGAGAAGATAAATCTTCATCTGCAGGTATGAAAGAGTAATTTGCAGTAAAAAAGTGAATCGTTGTCCTGGTATATCAGTGTGAGCGTGCAAATGGAATTGACTTTCCAGGGTACTCAATAAAGTTCTAGGAGAGAATGAACAAACTATCAAATTGAAAATATATGTAACTATATAAAAGTGCCCTTTCTCAATCTCCCTGTAGAATACAATTCCTTGTGTACAGATTGCATAATTATTGACCTAGCTTTTTATTTATTCAGGTCAATCTTGCTAAACCAACACCATGTCAAGATGTCCACCACCCTTTTATGAAATTTTTTGTACCCAGCAACAAGGTTTTTGCCAAGTTCTGACTTCCAGCAAAATTTGGTGGATGAAAAAACAAAATCTTTAGTTGGATTTTTGGCCAGAAAATATTCAATACAGCGCAACAGGCACTTCTGAGGTTACGAACTCACAATCCTTCAGTTTCAAACACTATCTTTGTGCTGCCTTGCTTTAAATTTCAGTTGGCAGCCTAATTTCTTAGCTACAACCCAAATGAAAAGCCGGGTAAATTTAAAAATCTGTTGAAGCATGAATTAAACTAAACTGTTGTCTTTTGGTATTCTCTGTGTGCGTGAAACAGATGCTGTGAGCGGTGAAGAGGAAGAAAAAGCAAAGAGTATTGATGGAAAAACATGTCCAGGCAACAGATCAGGTAACTGTACCAAGGCCCACCAAAACAAATTTAAATCTTTTTTAACATGAAAACTTTCTGGACAAGTTGTTAAAATTTGTGCTCAACTCACCGTGATGTTCGTCTCGCTGGTTCTGCTCATGTTAAATAACTGAATGGAGTTTTAACTCTTTACACCTTAATACTAGTATGAATATTCGCTGTACTGTTCTCTATACATTTCCTTAGGTGCTGACAAGGAGAATTTGCTGAGCAATCAAGAGCTTCTCTAGTCCTTGATCATTTCCTTTTTTCTCGCGACCTAAATGTTTAATAACGAGGAGAATTTATACATTAGTTCACACTTAGGGGTCAGAGAGTTAATTTTAGTTGGGGTGTCATGGTGTTCTATTTTTGTTTTGTTATTGTTGTTGGTGTTTTTTCCTTGAAAAGCTTTAACTGTAGAGGGGGGGGGGGGGCGGGGGCTTCGAAATTGAGTCATGACTTTCGAGCAGCAGAAGAATCCAAAAGAAAGAAGGCTTGGTGCAACTGCTTTTCCTTTTTTGGTCATTAATGTGTTTCATTCTTGAGTGGGATAGAAACAAATTTTAGCATTGCGGGAGTGCATGTCATGTCTCTAGCTTTTCTTTTGTACTTACAACTTGGTAATATTACCTCTACCAGGTAACAATGGCCAGATTCAGTTGTGGCAGTTCTTGTTGGAACTGCTGACGGACAGAGGCAGTCGGCACCTGATCATGTGGGTTGGAGAAAATGGGGAGTTTAAACTGAATGATCCTGAGCAGGTGGCACAACAATGGGGCAAGCGTAAAAACAAACCAGCCATGAATTATGAGAAACTGAGCCGTGCCTTACGGTATTACTACGATGGAGACATGATTCATAAGGTCCATGGAAAGAGGTTTGTACTTGTAAAGAAGACATTTTGTGGGTATTTTTTCCGCAACCTCAAGAAAGAGTGGGAATATATTTTCACTCTACATGTACATGTAGCTATCTATACATGTGGTTGCATCTATTTTCATTAAAACTTGGTTACAAGTTAACGGCTGGCAGGAGCCGCTCTTCGGTTGGTTAAACTCAATGCAAAAAATAAGGATTTCTCACGTGATCTCATAACAGTCTCTGTCATGAGATATGATGAAAATTTTGATTTACATTTTTGGAATTAATGTGTGTTGAATGCTTATAGTATATTATGAAAGCAAGGGTTGGTGAGAGAGCTTGTCGAAAACGTGAAAAAGCTGTACCACGCTTCCTTATTAGGTCACGGTTTATTCACTTGATTTAACGATTTTATTACCATGCTTCGTTTAATTCCCACCCACAACCCTCGGCTTATTCGAAAAGAAACATACATTCAATGTCCCGTTTTAAGCACGTGGAACAGTGCCATACATGAGGCGATAAAACGCGTGCCGCATGCATGTTTGTTTGGTTATGTATAGATAAACGAAATCACTTATAAATGTCAATTAGATGGACATTGGACTTGAGAACAAGGCATATGCGGGTGGAACTGAAATAAGTATGAAAATATTATTTCTCTGGAAACAACATTCAAGTGTCCTGCTCTACAATGTACTGTATTCGCTGACGTGCTGCCCCAGCAGCATCTCGTCGCGGCCGGAACTCCAGTGCAGTAGGGTTCAAATGTGTGTCATTGCAAGGTGTAAGGATGTTGGATTGGGCGTTTTATGAATCCTCTGCCTGCTCTCAATTTCGCTGCCCTAACAATGCCATCTCGTCCAATGAACAATTCTTCTACCACCCCCATGGGCCACTGATTTCGGTCTCGCTCATCAGACTTAATGATAACAACGTCTCCTACGGACAAGCTGTTAGGTTTGGTGTTATGTTTCAGTTGATGCCTCTCTCTCTCAAAGCTCTAAGTTATTGCGTGGTCCATCGACACCACGTTGTGTCTTAGGTAGCTTTCAAGAATTTCGTGTCACGGTCACGGTCTTCATGACGATGTGGTTCGAGCTCAGGTAAAATGTTAGCATTCAGAAACAGTAAAGAGTTAGGCGTTAGTGTAGGGAATTGCGGGTCATCCTCCACGTAACCAAGAGGTCGATGGTTTAGTGACACTTCGATGTCGAGGACTATCTCGCAAAGCTCGTCTCAGCTTAGAAGACCCTGACCCACCGACCTGTTGAATGAAGACTTGAATATTAGCAAATGAGTCTTTCGAAGTGCCCTCCCCACCATGGCGCCCGACTCACGTAAGAGGTCCTATGATCTTTTCGGAAGGGTGACCAGAAATGTGATTAAACCGCGAGATCCGTGTACAAATTCCCATGGCTTTACGCAAGCCGAACTTCTCGAGAAGAGTGTCAAAGTCATCGTTTGCTTCGAAATCGAGCGCGAAAAGTTCTCGCTGAACCTTCTCTGCATTACTGTTATCCGTCGCCTTTGTCACAATATCAGCAGGCCACAGAGATGGGTCGAACAACCACGGCGGACCGTTCCACCATTGCTCCGCTTCATTCACACTGCCGCCTCGACTTCCCAGGTCAGATGGGTTTTCGGATGTCGTTACATGTCTCCACTGCGTGTTCGGGCGACTCTAGATATTTTTAACCCGGTTAGCCACGAATTAGCGGTACTCCACGTCATCGTCAGCCAGTTTAGGGCTACAGTGCTGTCGAGCCATCATTGCATATCCTCCGTCATATTGAACCCTTCTAGTGCAGCCCACATATTTGTTGACAAGTTGACTGCGATGGGGCCTAACACGAGCTCCCAACGAGAAATCGTCAGACTTTTCCAGGTAAGGCGGGATTTGGCGGCAATCAGACCCTGTGTCACACCTGGCACTTGTGCAACCACAGGATACACAACAGCACACACACCGTGATTACTTGCATCACCAAATGCAGGTAGTTTAATGCTGTCGTTCGGTTCATAGTACTGAACAGGACTGCGAGGAAAGTACACATCATCCGGTGCATTATTTTTCCTTCTAAGCCACCTTTTTGCAATCCCCTCGGGAAATGGGATATCTCAGCTCAACTTCATCTCACTGGCTTCTCGGTAGATTTGTTTCCCCTCCCCTCCGGCGACACAAGTCTTAACGGGTCATAAACCTTGACCAAACGGGGCATCCTCGCTGAGTTGGCGAGGATGCCCCGTTTGGTTAGTGTAACAGGCTGAGGTGGGAGTGAAACATGCAAAGTGTCATCCACTTTGTCCCTTTTGAGTCCCAGTAGTTTGCACTCTCCACGAACTGATGATGCACCAAGCTGCTGTTTAGAAAAGGAAGGCTCGTCATCGGTACAGTTATCTCAAGTTCTGGCACGTTTGAGTACCATTTGTGCAAAGTGAACTTTGCGCGATTAAAGATCTCTACCGCATGATGTTTGAGCTTTCGCGCACCTTCCACTTTAGAAGCGGAGCTCGCAGAGCGTAGCTCCATAACTATACAAAATAGTTGTAACCCATCAAGCCGAAAAAATTTGGATGTACGACCGTACGACTGCACAAGTTGCTACTTTTAACATGCGTGGTCAACTGTACCGCGGGCACGCCAACGCCACGGCTTTGTCCAGTAGTCCTGTGGTCAGTGCATTGGGCGCCGAGTCGGACGATTCGGGTTCCAGTCCTGGCCGGGGCAAGGCGTTGTGCCTTTGAGACGTGCGGGGAAAAAAAATGCGAGGTCCGCTTTTAGGCTTGGCTAAATCTATATATTATCTCCTGTGATCAAATCATCTACATACAAACTATTTTTGATTTCTTCCACAGTCCCTCGGACTGTACACTTTCCAGGTGTTGCCGTATCACGGCACTGAATAGAAAAGGAGAAGGTGCAAGACCAACCACCACTATCGTAAACCTTAGCACTTCCAGCTGTTCAGTCGATTTGTCTTTAATCTAGTGGAATCTCAGTGCGTCACGTTCAGCTTCCTTGACTCGTATCTGTAGGAAGGCCTTGCGCATATCTCCGGCTACTGCAATAGGATGGAATCTATTGCGGACAATAATACTCCAAAGTTCATTCTGTAGTGGGGGACCGGTGTGTAAACACTCATTCAATGATGGTACACCGTCATACGCACGGGCCGAGGCGTCATATTCCACTCGTAGCTTAGTTGATTCTGCATTCTCGCGTATTACCGCTCCATGGGGCATGTAGAATTCTTTGCCTGTTACCTTTGCTGGTGCCTTCACAACCACACCTTCCTCCGGCTGCTCCCGAATAATGTCGGCGTACTGGTCCGGCATATCAATTCTCTTTAATTTCCGTAGAGGAGAGTTCACTCTGCGCACACTGTCCGCATAATTATTGGGCAACTCAGGACAGTTCCTTTTCCAAGGAAGTCCAGTTTCGTATCGACTGTCTGGACTCCTTGCTAGCTGCTCCTTGAATTCTTCGTGGACATCGCTCTGGTGTGGATGGTCTGTCCTCTAGTCCCAGAACATCTAGGGCGCAGAGTTGGTTGTGATCAACCGTCAAATTTACGGCAAGGTATGTATCGCCCAGATCTGTTCCGGGGGACATAATGGTCCACCCGAAACGCGTACGCTCTGCTACGATATCCCCTCTTCGTCCGACCCGTCAACGATCACTGGTCTGTATCTTGATATCTTGGCAAAGTCATTAGCGCCGATTATCACGTGCATAGGTAAACGAGCTTTTGTATCACTATCCTCCATTGTAACACCTCTCAGGTGAAGGTGATTTTTTAAGAGATCGGAATACCTTGGGTTGTCTAAGGTCAAAAGTTCCCTTTTTTCGATTTTCGTGACATATACGTTTAGTGTGAAATCTCCAATCACAGAACGCATGACAACTTCGAAGACTTGCATAGTTCTGGTTTCGACGCCTGTAAGCATGGCGATTTGGCGCATACTCGTACTCTTTGCTTTCGGCTTTAATTAAATTGATCGCTTTGGAAGAAGCATAGGAATGGCTGGTGCTACTGTCCAACAGGGCTCTTAATTATTATTCGCCCATGTTTATAACCACAACCGGACGAATAACACTGGAATCTCCTATTAAATTTGCAGTGATACCTGGTCCTCGTCTTTCCTTTTTGTCACATAGAAGTGTAGGGCTTTCCATTGCAAATTCTGCAAGTATTCCTGCTCTCACAATCGCTGGCTCGGAGTTTGGCACTTGTACAATTGAAGCACAAGCGCTTATCGGCACGTTTTTTTTCCTTTCTTCAATAATTTGGCCGTTATCTCAGTTAATTGCCTTATGTTGTTGGCCATAACAATAAAGACACGCCCCCGAGCTCGCCCTCGACTGGTTTCCGGTTTCTTGTTGTTTGGTAAGAAATGCTCTAGACTGATCTCGACGGAAATTCGAGTTCTTTGATTGCTGTTCGTTTGAAATGGGATTATTAATTGTCCATTTCTCCAGTGCCTATAAGAATTCCACCGAGGTCATAGTAAGTTCGTTCTTTATCACATCAAGCTTGTCGAAGGTAAATCGAACCGCGGCGTCCAATTTGGATAAACGTTTCAATGTTCGCAGTGACTCTACGTTGAACAGTAGTGCTTCATAAAATTCGTGTATCTTCTTTACGTTTCTCTCATGCACGGTGGGTAGCTCCAAAATATTCCTAACGTAAGTTCTCACAACCTCACTCTCTTTCCCATTTCTTCTTGTGAGTAAATCTTTAGCCTTTTGGTAACCTTCAGACGTAAACGAAAGACTATCGATGAGATTTCGCACCTTCAAATTCTCTAATTCCTTCAAATAGGAGAACTTTGTTACTTCAGGGGCACCAGATTCATCAATTTGACTTTCGAACCGTCCCCCAAAACGCAGCCAATCTTGCGGTGCTCCGTCAGATTTTGCGATCACGTGCTTTAGCAATCTAAACACGTTGCTAGCCATTTGCACAGTTTCCGGCGGTTCCGTTTGAGCTTGTTTCAACACCAACTTCTTCTTCTGAAATTCCAATTCCTTTGCGTGTACTCGATTAAGAGCTTCTTGTTTTTTCTCTTTTTCTAGTTCGACTTCTCTTTTGTGCTCATAGAGCGCGGTTGCGTGTCTTAGATTTAGGTCGATTTGCTCAATTCGTACTGCCAGTTCGCGTATACAGGCATGTCCTTCGTTAACAACTTGTTCGATTCTGTCGGCCCATTCTTGTACTGCCTCATCGTCGTCGCCGTTCGCAAACTTCTGTTCCTCAATGGATTCCTTTAACTTGACTACTGTTGTCATGAGGGTCTCAACGGAAACTTTGTGTCTCTCAGAGGTCGTTCGTTCATTTTTCTTTGAGACATCTCCTGTCTTCTTCAAACAAAAATTCAACGTCTTCAATTTTCTCTCAAGATCGGCAATTTGTTTGTCCATGATTTCCAACGCTATCCTGGCGGGGTCGCTACTGTGTCGAAAACGTGAAAAAGCTGTACCACGCTTCCTTATTAAGTTACGGTTTATTCACTTGATTTAACGATTTGCTTCAGTTGACTCCCACTCACAGCTCTCGGCTTGTTAGAAAAGAAACACACACTCATCTTCCCGTTGTAAGCATCTGGAACAGTGCCATATATGGGGCGATTAAACACGTGCCGCATACATGTTTGTTTGGTTATGTATAGATAAACGAAATCATTTATAAATGTCAGTCACATTAAGAATAATTGACGTATCTTACAGTTTCCGACAGGCAACCTAAAACGAGAAGCTTAGGTTATGAAAATCATCAACCCTTTCGGGAGTTACTGCATTATGGACAACAGGTCGGGTTACAAAAAATTTGTCAAATTCGAGTGGTCAGTGGTGAAATAGGCTTAATAACGCATGGAGAAATAAATCATTAGTAGTTCCAGTAAACAATAATGTTATAAATCATAAAATGTTAACACTATACTTCGCCGAAGAAAAAGTTAAGCAAGTTTTCGGAAGTGTTGACTATACATATATCTTTTACTGCTTTCGTAAACGATGGGTGGGCAAGAACTTATTAAAGACCCCTTCAACAGCCGGAAGTCAAGATACATTTTTTTGCCACACAACAAAGTTACAATTAACGTAAATATCATTCTTCTTGATGCCTTTCCCAGTGTCACCGATGCCTCTGTTGGTTGATATACTGTAGCAGTAAAAGATATTGTTAAAATCAAAGCTTTTGAAAAATTTCTTCACTTTCTAATTAGCGAAGTATAACTTGGTAACATTTCGGCTTTGCAAAGCGACTGTTTTCTGCAACTACAAATGATTTATCTCTACTTGAAGTATTAAAGTTGTTTCACCGCTGACCACTTACATTTCGGACTATTTTCTTTCCTGGCTCGTCGCCCGTGATGTCGTAATTCCCAACCCTTTCACCTTAGGAGTGATCAAAAAGGAATTTCTTCAAGTAGCATTTTTACATATGCAAGCTGTAAGGTGACAAGAAGAAAGAAAGTTATCAACCAGGCGTATAATGTACGATTGAATACTTTAGGGAGAATCAATATTTAGATGTTAGGGGCGAAAGTGTTCATTAGTTTTACTTTGTGGAATGGTACAGATGCAAAGTGGCTAACTGATAATGTATCCTCTTCTTACAGATTTGTTTACAAGTTTGTGTGTGACCTGAAAAACCTGTTGGGCTATAGTGCAGGAGAGCTGAGCAGACTTGTTTTGGAAGCTGAAGACGCAGCCAGTGACATGGAGCCTGGGACAAATGGGGGACATTAGGTTGTTTAAAAAGCTATCTATAACATTGTAATGTACTTGTATGCATTATATCTGTAAATAAGGAGTGAAATGGTTTCCATACATTGTAAACAATTATAAGGAAACCTTTTTAAGAAAACAATGTGTTATACAGAATGGTAATTTTGGTTGTTGCATTGACTCAGCTATTCCTCAATAGAATTTAGAAGCATAGTATAAATGCATTCTTTTGAAAATTTCCCAATCTAGGGGCTTTTATTGTCATTGTTGCATGTACCTGCTGTGGGTGAATAGATCCGAGAATTGCGTTTCAAACGTTCTCTGAAGGGAAGATCTCTTTTAAATAGATTTTTCACTGGTAGTATCGGAATCAATTGTTAATAGATAGTGAATACATGTGTATTTATTTCATGCAAGATTTAGGTTTTAAAAAGACTCTAAAGTAAAGGAACTGGAATATTGTTAATGTTTGGTGAATATGGTGAACGATACAATCATCTGAGCCTTGTCGACAATAGGCCATTCTCGATATCTTAAAATTCTAAAATGGCTCCGAGGCTAGGGGAATAAGGCAAATGAAATGATTTATTCATTCCTCAACCTCGATGTGATTTCTTTTGTTTTTTTCCCTAAGCTTCGGAGCCAAGTTTAAAATTCAGTATATTGAAAATGGCCCATTCATTTCAAGATCTCTAGTTGGGTTTGCTAATTTTCAGCTACAACTGCTTACCTTGAAGGGATGAGCATTGTTACACATTTTTGAGTGAGGATGACAGCTTCACAGGGAATAATCCCTGACAAGCTGTTCACTTTTGTTACTCTTAAGATCTGTTTTGTTCAGTATTTCTCCTTTCTTGTCACCACACATTTCCTTTTCAATTTTTGAAGACAATGCACTGGTAAATCAGTCAACTTTAGGTTTTTTATCATTTTATACTTGAAACCTGTTCTCTGGATAATTTACCTAGAGTTTAAGGCGGAGTTACTGGCCAAACACTCGACGTTTGAATAGTACAAGGTACTCTGGATGTTCGTGAAGGGGAGTGACAGCACAAGCCATTGAGCATGCGCTTACTTACAAAAATACAGTGCATACACATTGTATATTTATATGGTTAATGGTGAGGAGTGCCGTCAGCTAGTGACTGTTTTGGAGGAGAAATGGAAATCTGCGGGCATTTACTTTTTGGTGTGAAAGTGGAACTTTTGAACTTTTCCTATAGACCCTCTGTAAGTCAGTTCCAGGGTAGTGCCTTTGGATGTATCGCCATAATCCGTTCATGACGGTGAAGGCGATGGTGTAACAACAGGATGTTCAATTCAATGGCTAAAACATTTCCTGGAGTGGTGGCTTAAATGCCATAGAAACAAAGCAAATCCCTGCGTGTTTTATCGAAACTGTAACATCTTTTGAGTGTTACCTTCATCTTAATTCTGGAGAACCTCCTTCCCTCTCCCTCCTCTCCCAGGGGCTTCAAACGGGTGATTCACGCATGATTTAGTACCCAGGGTCCTAACGCGCGTTTGATTCGTAGCGGAGTCTCTTAAGCTACCACAGGTCTCAGGGCTTCAGCTCACTCTGACTATTCTGGTGAAGATCCAAGCGAAATTTCCTTTGGTAAAGTAACTGATCTTCCAATGCTATTTGTAGAAAAAAACAGTAAGGTTTCAATCATCTGATGTAGGATTTCAAGCCAAATCAAAGTTATGAGGCAGTGTATATATTGATAGAATTGTTTAGTTTAACCTCTCTTAGTCCTCTATATTAGGGATAAGGTTTGAAGTTTTGAAAATTTTTCTGTTTTTGTTTTTGTCTTTTTTCAGCAGGATAATTTTGTTAAGTTCAGCCCTCTGTTATCATAACTTCATATGGTTGCCATGGTTGGACCATTTCATCGTTGTGTGAGAGGGGAGGGATGGGGAAGAAGTGATAAACACTCCAAATCCACTTCGTCGAAAAGTTGCGCCTTGAGTGAGGATAAGGCGAGTCTCTCTCACAACTGGGTGCTATGTCTGAGGGTAAAATAAAGAATTGGTTTGTGCGTAGCGTGCCCATATCGAGTTATTAATACACGAGACAAGTTTGGAGAGCACGAGAAAAGCGTAATAGTTTCTCGGGGAGCAGCAAATAGCAGCTTTACATTCTTGAGTTGAAGAGTTGATAATGTAAATTGGCCATTGTAGAGTGTCTAAAGCTGACGTTTCGAGCGTTAACTCGTCACTATGTAACCTAAAGGAAGTCTTGAGAAGTTCCTCACATTTGGTCGAGCATCTTTACTTCTTTATGACTATTATAATGGTGAAAAAAATTCAGGCTTAAATCTCTCGTCAGTGTCCGAGCTGCATGATTATGACACTCGAAGTGTATCCTACAACCTTCTGTCAATTCCCTCTTCTTGATCGAATCTCGGGAAAGTTTGTACAACAATTATCGGTAGATATATCTGGAGCGATATTACTCAGCCTATTAGTGAAAATCAACTAAACAATTGTTTAAAAAAGCACTTTCACACTACTGTCTAAGTCAATATTAATTTTTGTATTTATTCGATTAAACGCCGCATTCGAATTAAGGCCGCCCTCGAATAAACGCCGCATTCTAGAGCAGAAATGTTAATAAACGCAGCATGATACGGCGTTTATTCGAATGATGATGATGGCAGATTCTTCGTAGTCCAAAGATCAGTGGGAAAAAAGTTCTAACTGGGGTCGGCATGCCCTCTGATGACTGATTCTATTCTTGAGCAAGTGGGGCAGGGGAAGATCTGATCGCTGCAGGACGTTGCTTGATTGGCTGACTCCTTTCAACACTTGCGTTCCTCCTTAGCAGTGTTCACTCTGGAGTCCTCGAACCTCTGAGCTGCGCGCTTGGTGGTTGACCTCCATTCGACCCTGTCTGATGCGAGCGTCTGCCAGTCTTTGTGGTCAACACCAGCCTGAACCAGCTGTCGCTTCAGCTGGTCCTTGTAGCGCCCGCGTGGAGCACCTCTGTCACGCTAGCCTTTGCCGAGTTCGCTAAAGAACTCAGCTTTGGGCATCCTGGTGTCGTTCATGCCCGAGACATGGCTGGCCCAGCATGATGTAGCAGCATAGCCTCGATATTTGGCAGTCAAGCCCTCTCTAGAACCTCTTCGTTTGTGACGTAGTCCTGCCAGTGTATTCCCATGATAGACGCAGTTACCTCTGGTGGAAGCGTTTCAGCAGCTGTATATGCTTTCGGCACAGCACCCAGGTTTCCACAGCATACAGAAGAGTGCTGATGACAACTGCCACGTAACTCTGACTTTGGTCATTAAGCGAAATGGGTGGCTCTCCCACATTCTGTGCTGGAGGTGACCAAAAGAGCTGCTGGCTTTGGCGAGAAGGTGGTCCAGGTCTTTGGTGATCATGGCGTCATTGGAGATTACACTGCTAAGGTATGTAAGTAGGTGGCCGTTGATGGTGATCTGGGGTGGGCTATACACTGCGAGTGGGGAATTTTGGTGAAGCGAGACCTCTGTCTTCTTCAGGCTGATGGTCAGACCGAATGCTTGAGCAGCCCTTGCGAAGTGGTCAACCATTGTTTGAAGAGTGTCCTTTGTGTGTGCAGTTCAAGGATCAGCTCCTCGGTCGTCTCTTTTTCGGGCGAGGAGGCGACGGAGATTAAGGACACTTCCATCAGTTCGAAACCCGATGTAGATGCCTTCGCTCAGTTCTTCCTTAACCTCTCTCAGCATCGTGCTCGGGATCTGCTTCCCGTACTGGCAGTTCCTCCTTTTCTTGTCCGGGCTGGAGCTCTTCCTTGAACTAAATTTTCCTCGCCAGCAGCCTGTTGGTTTCGAGCACCTGTACCCCTCTTTTCCTCGCTGTAGGCCTGTGGTCTGCGTTGCTGTCAGCACTGGTCATGATTCTGGTATGTAGCACGTCACAGAGGTCCTTCTGGCGCACGAAGACGTAGTTCAAGAGGTGCCAGTGTTTCAGGAGCGTGGGTGTTGCCAGATCGTCTTGAATTTGGCTATCTGCTGGAACAGGGAGTTGGTGATTATCAGTCCCTGTTCTGAACACAGTTCTAACAGCATGCGCTCGTTGGCGTTGCAGTTGCCGACTCCATGGCGTCCCAGAACTCCTTGCCATACAGTGTGGTCTCGTCCCACTCTTGCGTTCAAGTCGCCCATGATGGTGAGCTTGTCCCTGCTGTCAGTATAAGGTGTATCCTGCTCCGTGCTCCTATGCCTATGAATAGCACAGATCCCTAAAATCCATTTGAATTCCACATGCCCAACTTTTACAATTGCGTTTCTTGACAATCTCCAATCAATCTGCAGACAGCTAATGGCCTCGTCGTTCGAAAAGCTGCAAATTGTTCGTATTATTTAAGGTACCTGGTAGAGAAAGAAAATTATCAATTAACATATTTTGAGTAACTTTTAATATGCCTAAGACTTAAGACTGATCTCGAATGGAATCTTTCAAACCTACTTTTCCAACTCTTTTATCAAATTGAAAGCTAGGGAACCGTATTTTATTGGTTAAACGCCTCCGATGTTTATTTAAAAATCAGAAGTTTGGGCCCGGCGTTTTTTCGAGGCCGGCGTTCATTGGGGGCACGGCGTTAATCGTGAAAATACGGTAAGCACAATTAGAAATCTCTTGACCTCAGGCTTCCTCGGTCAACTCTCCTCTTTTCTTCTATTATTCTTTTGTCTATTCTTTCTTTCTTTCTTTCTTTTTTTTCTTCTTTTACCCGAATCTTCGACCCTCTCTCACGAATGGGATGGGATGGCTTACCACAGAGAAGGCCTTTGAACTTTTTAAGCTTTGGTTCTACTTCCTCATCCCATGGTATGTGTTTAAAGAGGGACTAAAGGCTGGCGGTTTTAGCCATCTTAAGGCTAACAGTTTATTTCTTTCCGCTATGTTTTCACTAAAAAATAAATCCCGGCTAACTTATTTTGCGACAAACATCTATAATTTGTCAATTTTTTTGCCTAATGCCTTATTTTTTTTCGTTTTACGGCTAACATTTAACCCCACTGAGACCTTCTTTAAACAGGTAACCAACCCTTCATATTCAGTTGTTCTTCATAGTCTTTCTTCCATTATCACCCCTCTGGCTGATTATTGATTGTCAACAAGTATTTTCCTTGTAAATCACCATTTGTTTAAAGAAACTGGAGTTGTCTTACTCTGAGATATTCCTTAACTGGCAATAATAACTTTTCAAGGGGAAAAAGCTGCCAAAGCCGGCAATCTTTGAGAAATGCAAATTGATGAAAGTTTTCGGAAATTGAATACAATTACTTTGCTCAGAACAGAAATACAAAAAGTGCCTCAATGTGATAATGATTTCTAACGCGATTAGAAATACCAAGAGCCTTCGA